TGAGACAGGATCTCCCTGTAGCCCCAGCTGGCCTGGAACTCACTATGTAGACCAGGCTGGCATTGAACTCACAAAGATCCACCTGCTTTTGCCTCCCAAGTGCTGGGACTACAGGCATGCGTCACCACGCCCAGCTATTTATTATTTTTATGTGTATGAGTGTTTTGCCTGCATGTATGTGAGTGCACCGATGTCATGCAATGCCGTGGAGGTCAGAAGAGGGCGTTGGATTCCCCTGGAAGTGTAGTTAAGGATGGTTCATAGCCGCCATGTGAGTGCTGGGAATTGAACCCGGGTCCTCTGCAAGAGCAGTCAGTGCTCTTAACTGATGAACCATCTCTCCAGCCCCCTATTTATTATTTTTATTTTATGTGTATGAATGTATTGCCTGCATATACATATGCTCCTGTGTCATGCAATGCCTGAAAAGGTCAGAAGAGGGTGTTGGATCCCCTGGAGCTGAAGTTACAGACAGTTGTTAATCACTGAACCATCTCTCCAGCCCCAGAGATACAGGCTCTGTGTGCTAGTCCTTCCTAGTACCATTTCCTGGGATTGTGAGCAAGTTCTGCCAGACATCTCACTTCTGTCCTACTCAGTGGAATTATAGCCCATTTTTATGATCCTCAATAGGAGGTAGAAAGACTGGTCTTGGGGTTACACCGGATGAGGAGGGAGAGGATGGGCATGGAATGTCTAAAGGCCTCGTGGATTAGAAGGAGGCTTCGATGAGCATAGCTGCAGGTCTGCCTGGACTGAAGGGGCAAATGTGTATAGGGGGTGTATGAATATGTATGGGGCAGGTGTGAGTGTATGTGTATGTGTCCTGTATATTTTATATGCACAGGGTATGTGTTATTTTGAGTGTATGGGGAGTGTTGGTGCTTGGTCTATATGTTTGTGGGTGAACATTTGGTTCACATGTGGGTGTGTAGGGAGAGGTTTCTATAGGTTTGTGTGGGTGGGCATGTATGTGGGATTTGGTGCTTGTGTGTGCTGGGGGTGCATGGCCATAAGTGTTCACCCAGGCAGGTCTTAGGACAGCCACCAGCAGCTGTCAGTTGGGGTAGGTGAGGGGATTTGGCTTCTTAGAGCACAGTGTACTGGGGAATCTTGTTGATTTGGGATGGCTTATTGTAGTAGATTGGATGTTTGGAAATTAAGCTGATGGCTTTTAAGTGCTGTCAAGGCCACTCCCCAGGTTTGCTTAGCTATTCAAGGGACTGGGAGGTAGGAAAACTATTGTGGTTCTGACAGTGGTGACAACCCCTCTAGGGTCAGGGTGCTCTCTTATTTGAATGTCTCTAATACCCAGTCGAGGCTTGGTAGATGTTCTTTTTGGGGATCAGGGAGCTGGGTAACATATAGCACCAGGGGAACAAACAGTAATACATGTTGATAATGGTGAAGGAGGAAGAGTTACTCTGAGGATCTCAAGCGGAAAGGAGGGCCAGCATGGTGTGGCGTGTCCTTCCCAGTTTTGCTGAGGGATAACGTGAAGGCAAACCCTGAAAGCAACGTGGCTGGCTGAGTCAAGGACCTCTTCAGTATGGGGACAGCAAAATTATAATCCAGGGTGACATTAACTATGATAGGACGATGTCTACTCTGCTCTGCAGGCACCCCAAGGCCAGGCTGCAGAACAAGGCCCCATATTTGTTTAGACAAATATATAACGCTTACTGTTGGCCAGGCCCTGGGTTAGGTATTGAATAATGGATGATGACATATCTGTCCTTTTCACTGCTGTATCCCTGGTCCCTAGCCTAGCCTCTGGCCCCTAGTGCTCAGTAAGTTTGGGCTAAAAGAACAGATAAACAGGACACAGTCCATTCCTGCTCTCTGGTACCCCCTCCTCCCCTGCCCCCTCTTCCAGACACAGACTGGTAGTGTGGTTGTTGACCTTGGTGTGGGGCCACCTGGGTAGGATGGTGACTGTATCTTTGCATTCTACAGGCTGGATGGCCCTAGGGAGCCAGATGTACGAGATGGCTTCAGTGCCACGTTTGAGAAGATTCTGGAGTCTGAGCTGTTGCGGGGCACCCAGTACAGCAGCCTGGACTCCTTAGATGTGCTGAGCCTCACTGATGAGAGTGACAGCTGTGTCAGCTTCGAGGCCCCCCTCACACCCCTCATCCAACAGCGGGCCCGAGACAGCCCTGAGCCTGGGGCTGGGCTAGGCATTGGGGACATGGGGCCTGAGGGGGAGATGGGGGCAGCTGGTGGTGGTGACAGGGAGCTGGGCAGCCCCCTGAGGTGCTCCATCTCCAGCAGCCGCTCAGAGAATGTCCTGAGCCACCTCTCTCTCACGTCGGTGCCCAATGGGTTCCATGAAGATGGACCTGGGAGCCCAGGAGGGGATGATGAGGATGATGAGGACGCGGACAAGTTGTTGAACTCAGCCAGGTGAGGCAGGGCCTGGGCTGGGGCTTGGGGAGCCACTGAGCAGGCAGAGAAGCTCAGATTCAGAAGCAAAGGATATTGGGGTGACCCGGTGTCCAAGGTCCACAAGCCCTCTCAAGGTCATCTTGTCTATCCTCTGTGTGCAACTTCCCATCTGGCCCTGAGGGTTTACTCAGCTCTTCTGCTCTTTTTGCTCAAAAGGGCTCATAGGGCTGAGCTGTGGGCACAGCCACATCTGATTTCAACAACCTGCATTTCTGGGAGTTGGAGTTAATGCCCCTCCTGCTGCAGTGCAGCATCTTTCCCTGCTCTCGTCCCCGGGTGGGATTTCAGAGGATTGGGATGCCGTCTCAGACTCACACGGGGTGGGGTCTCTGATCCCCTCCTCTCTGTGTGCAGTGATGCCAGCTTCAAGGACAGCCTGTCGGACTCGGACTCAGAGCTAAGCAGCTCAGAGGGGCTGGAGCCTGGCAGCACAGATCCACTGGCCAATGGGTGCCAAGGTGTCAGTGAAGCTGCTCGCAGGCTGGCCCGCCGTCTCTACCACCTTGAAGGCTTCCAACGCTGTGATGTGGCCCGGCAGTTGGGCAAGAAGTGAGTGGGTCTCTCCACCCCCTACCCCAGGCAAAGCAGACCTGCCACTCTTCTTCAGCCCATAGGGCATGAGGGTGACTTCTTTTAGAGATGGCTGGTGCTGGGGGCTTCCACCAGGCCTTCCAGGATACCTCCTCCTGCCATTGTCCTCATTCCTGACCTCGCCCTAAATCTATTTCCTTTCTGGGCTGTTCCTAGGAGGGTGGTTGCTACCAGGGATGTGTGGTGTAGGCCCCTCAGGGCTGGAGCAGAATGGGGGATGTGATTATGGGGTCATGAAGGGAGGTAGTGAGGACAGAGCAGCCTGGCAGGGCTAGAGTTCTATTCAGTGGGGCCAGGTGGAGGGGAGAGCCTGGGGTGGATTGGGGGGGGGGCGGTAAATGTCTGAGACCTGGAGCTCTAGAAAGGGTATCTATCTGGCTTCTTTAAGCCCTTTTGCCTATTGGGACCAACTCTTAAAAAGTCCCAGAGCACAGGATATGGTCTTCAAAATGGGTACAAAGGATACCAACCAGGTGGGAGTTCTGAGGGGTTCGTGGCCCACGTGGGATGTGTATGGCACAGACCAAGTGTCTGAGGACAGTGTAGCCCCTGCCTTGGTCTATCCACAGGGTTTCTATCACTCTGGAAGGCTGGGGAGTGGGCACAATTGGCCACCTTCCTGTGCTGCTCACAAGGCTAAGGGAAATGATCAGAGCCTAACCCAAGTTAGGCTGAGATGAAAGCTTTAAGCCTCAGTTTCCAGATCTTCCTCTTCTCCCTCCTGTCTCCTCCACCCTCTGCAGCTTCCTTGTCACTCAGTCCCCCAGGGTTCTGCCTAAAAGTCACAACTTCTATATCTCCTCCCTGGTGGGCTGAACACCCCCAGGACAGACTAACCTGAAGGCAGACAACCTTTCAGCTTGTGGAGGGCTGGTCTTTCCAGCTTTCCCAGGGCGCCCTCTGCAGGTGCTGCGGTTCAGCAATTTCTGTTGTCACACCTCCCATCCACAAAGCAAAAACATTTTCCCCAGCTCTGGAGCTCAGAACGCTCAGGTTTTCTGCCCTGGGTAGCCTTTGATTTCTCCCTCTTTCTCTTCTCTTAGCACCTCCAGATTGGTTCTTGCCCCACCATGGCCCCTTCAGAAACTTCCCTTTTCAAGGTCACTATGGGTTTAGAGTGTTGGAAACTGGTGGCCATTATCCAGGCCACCTTAGGAAGCGTTGGCTCAAGTGGCCACTCCTTTCAATTTCTTTAAGTTTTTCAGTATAAAAATTCCACAATACACAAATGAAAATAAATAATATAACAAATCTTCACAGACCCCATTGTCCAACTTCAAAGTAATTTTTTTTTTCTGAGACAAGGTCTCACTATATAGCCCATGCTGGCCTCCAACTGTCCATCCTCCTGCCTCAGCCTCCCAAATGCTAAGATTACAGGTGCACTCTCACACACAGCTCTCAGCTTCAACAATTTCTATCATTTCCTCTATCAATCATCCCACAGATTTTTCTGCCTATTTGCTGGAATGTTTGAAAGTATATACTAAAGTATATCTTTGATAAGAATTTTTTACAGAGTTATAATTTCATTACAACATACATCTAACAAAATTAACAAAAATCCATTGTTATCTCTAATATTTGGTATATTTAATTTTCTCTGTCTAAAAAGTATTGGTTTGGTCAGGCATGGTGGTGCAGGCTTGTAATCCTTGTTACTTGGGCACCTGAGACAGGAGGATCACAAATTCAAGGTCTGTGTGGGTTACAGAATGTGTTTAAGAACTCTTTGAGAAATTTAGTGAGACTCTGTATCAATAATAAAATAAAAATATGACTGGTCTGTAACTCAGTGGTAGAACAGTTGCCTTACATGTATGAAGCCCTGGGTTCCATCCTTAGTACCACCACACACACAAAAAAATGTGTTCAAATCAGGGCTGGAGCAAGATTCACAAGATTCATGCATCTGGTACTCTGTGTCATAAGTACCATTTAGTCTATAGCCACCACCAGTCCTCTCTATTTTTTTCCTTCCTTTGTGTGTGTGTGTGTGTGTGTGTGTGTGTGTGTGTGTGTGTAGTGCATGCATGAATACATGATTTTGTGTATCCACAAATATATATGAGGAGGCCAGAGATTGTCACTTTCCACCTTATTTTTTGAGACAGGGTCTCTCACTGAATCTGGAGCTCACTGATTGCCTAAACTTGCTGGTCAGTGAGCCCTGGATCCTCCTGTCTCCATCTCCCCAGATTGGGACAATAAATCCATGCTACCACATCTCACCTTCTATATGGATGTTGGCAATCCATATTCAGGTCCTCATGCTTGCAAGGCAAGCACTTTACTGATAAGCCATCTCCCCAACCCCCTCTTCCTTCTTAAGGGCCATGTATTAAAGAAACAGAACCATTCATCCCAAGGAATTTTCCACATTTTGCATGTGGATGTAACGAAGCTTCATATAGTCCTCTAGTTTCCTGTAAATGGGAAGGAGAGTTTGAGCCTTAATTGGAATCAGGAGGAAATTTGTTTTAATTCTTCATTCCAGGCTTTCTGAAACACATTCTTCCCTGTCCCCGAGGAAGGCACAGCCCTACCCCTTCGGCTGCAGTTGCTCAGCTTTCTCACTGGCTTTTCCTCAGTTGGGACCCTTAATGCGGCTGTCTTCTGAGCTCAGCCCTGGGCTAGTAGACCTGACTTTGCACTTAAAAATTATCTATTTGTTGATATATTTTTAATGTATGTAAGTGTTTTGCCTTCATGTATGTCAGTGCACCACATGTGTGCAATGCCTATGGAGGTCAGAGAGGGTGTTAGATTCCTTGGAACTGGAGTTATAGAAGGTTGTTAGCTGCCATGTGGGTGCTGGGAACCCAACCTGAGTCCTCTGTGAGTGCTCTTAACACCTTTTTTGTTTTGTTTTGTTTTTTTTTTAGGCAAGGTCTCATGTATCCCGGGCTGGCTTCAAACTCAATATGACCTTGAATTCATGATCCTTTTGCCTCTACCTCCTGAGTGTTAGGATTACAGATGTGAAGTACTGTGCCTTGTTTTATGTGGTGCTGTAGAGCAAACCCAAGGTTTCCTGCATGATAGGCAAACATGCTGCCAATTGAGCTACATCCTAGCCCACCTACACCTTTGAAATTCTTTCTTTTTAATTAATTAATTAATTAATTAAATTTATTTATTTATTTGTTTATTATTTTGAGACAGGGTCTTACTGTGTAGCCTTGACTGGCCTAGAACTCGTTATATAGACCAGGCTGACCTCAGATTCACAGATACCCGCCTGCCTCTGCCTCCCACCTGCTGGGACTAAAGGTGAGCACTACCACGCCTGACGAACTTTTTTTATTTTTGAGGCGGGGTTCCATTATGTAGCCAGGCAAGCCTCAAGCTCCCAATATTCCTACCTCCTAGTGTTTAGATGACAAACAAGCACTGCCTCCAGCTTGCTTGCATCTTGTCCTCGCATGGCCTCAGCTCCCGCCACTGAGTTGTCTCTTACAGGATTACTCTCACAGGGACTCACAGTCCTGACCTTGCCCTGAACTCTAGCATCTCCACCTTCCCAGTTAGGTCCATATCCATCTCCTCTTCTGGTGGTCTCTACCTCCTAAATGTTCTCATCTCACCCACCGCTTTTCTGGATGCCTGCACACTCCCTATGGGTCTCTACTATATGACATGTCCATCAAGCCACCAGCAGGTCTGGAGTTACTTTCAGACTCTGAAGTCATTTCCTGATCCTTCTGTGACCTGACATCCTGTCCCTGCCTCTTCTCTTGTGGCCCTGCTGGTAGCTTGATGGACATGTTATATAGTTTGCTCTGTTGGGAATACTTGTCACTACCCCACCTCTGCTTGATTCATCGGGCCAGCTCTTATTTACTCTGAGTTGGCTGAGGCATCATTTCCTAATCCTCCAGGCTAAAGTTGATCTGTCCAAGATGAGTGAGTGCAGCGCAAGGGCTGGGCAGATCTGGGTGGGTGGGGAAGGGTACTTTGGGCCCCACTTCCCAAGTACCTTCTGTTGTTCTGACATCCATCCTGGGACTTGGACCCTGCTTTTAATTGACATCCCATGCTTTCTTGACAGCAATGAGTTCAGCAGGCTGGTGGCTGGGGAGTACCTCAGTTTCTTCGACTTCTCAGGCCTCACTTTGGACCGAGCACTCAGGTCAGTGGGGTTGAGATGGGACAGCGCCCATAGGCAGTCTGGGCAGGATGTCTGGATTCTCATTCCAGCTCTGTTTTAGCTTGTAGTGTAATCTTAGACAAGCTTCTTGACCCTTTCTGGTGCAGCTGTGGGGAGGGGTCCCTACAGACAGCTGTAGTCCAGCACTCTAGTGAATGCCAGCTACATGGTGGGTGCTGAGGACTTGAAGGTGGATGTGTAGTCTTGACTCTTTAAGATAGGAAGGGAGGTCAAGGGTTTGCCTGTGTGGGGCATTTCTTGCCTACTAGATGCTGTAGGCCTTTATACACCTGGTTTACTTTGACAGTAAAGGGACTTGATTTCAGCTTTCTAGTATTTGGACCTCAGGAGGTATAGGATGGGTAGATGTAGCTGAGTGTCAGTAGATGGATGCTAAACCAGGTCCTTGGAAGGACAGATGGCAGTCTCTGAGCTAAGGGTGGTATCTTCAGATGCTAGGCCCTTTTGCTGGATTCCAGATGTCTCTTATACTTTTTAAAAATGAAGTTTCTATTATTTTCAAAAGATTTACTTATTTGGGGGCAGGGCTAGAGAAATGGCTCAGTGGTTGAGAACACTGACTGTTCTTGCAGAAGACCCGGGTCAAAATCCCAGCACCCACATGGCAGTAACTCCAGTTCCAGGGGTTCCAACAGCCTTTCTGTCCTCTGCAGGCACTGCACAACACAGGTGTACTTACATACATGCAGACAACACACACATACACATGAAATAAAAATAATAAATAAAATGTTAAAAAGATTTACATATTTTGCAAAATAATTGAAAAGGAACATGGGATGTGGTCCTAATCTGGGTAGTGTTGGCTGAGGAGAGGTGGCTCTGAAGTTTGTGTTGCTCAGGGCTGGCTCAGGGGTGAAGAGCCTCAGCTTTGCCTGCCATGTCATTGGGGCCACTCCCCTTGGTGATTTCCGAATCCTCATTTTTCTACCTCTGTGCAGAAAGGCTGCCCCTCTCAAAAAAGTCCCTCTACTTCTCCAAGGCTTTGTGCTTAGTTTTGCAGCCCTTGACCTTCATATCTTCAAAATATGTGGTCATGTGCTTACTGCCTTTCAAGTCTCCAAATTTGTTTTGCCAGCCCCATGAAATGACCCAATGTCCTGCCTCTTGCCTGAGCACTTTGACAGCAATCTCTCCAGGGAAAAGGCAGCCCATATCTGTCTGGTCTTCTTCACTCCAAGATCATGGTCCTGTGGTCTTCACTGCTTCTGCTGTTATTTGATAGCTTAAGGAAATGTACTGTCACTGTTCTTATGGGGAGTGTTGGTCTTCCTCAAGCTATCTTGAGCTGAGCCTCAAGGGAATGTACCTCAAGGAATGAGGGAAGTCAGAGGGAGAGTGTTTGATTGGGTTAGCTCATCTTAGAGACATGGGTGCTGGGCGGGGGCGGGGGCTTGTATATTGCATCACTGGAGTGAGACTGCCTAGGTCCAGGGGAGACTTGGAAGGTACTGGTTGTGAAGAAGAACCATGGCAGTGTGCTAGCAGCCTTTGGTCCAGTGGTGTGCAGGCTTCTATAGTGGGTCAGGTGGGTGAGGACAGGCCTGAGGGTGCAGTGGTGAAAGTGGGGAAAGATGGGTGTGAGAGATTGCTGAGGAGATAGATGGGGAAGAGATGGGGAGAGGGTGGGCAACAGTGGGGCTGACAGACTCAGGGGCTCTGGGATGCACTCTGTAACCTTGAATTACATTTCAGAACCTTCCTGAAGGCCTTCCCACTGATGGGGGAGACTCAGGAACGTGAACGGGTCCTTACACATTTCTCCCACCGGTATCGCCAGTGTAACCCTGATGACAGCACCTCAGAAGGTATAGCACCTGCCCCCCTCCATTCTTCTCCTTCCCTGTCCAGTAGAGCCCTGGCCTCCCCAAACCCTTGCCTACCTGCCACTTCTGTCCTGCAGGCAGGCCTAGGTGGGCTATACTGTGTGGCAAACAGGTGCTCAATTAAGATTGAATGAATACAGTTGGGTGTAGTGATTCATGCCTGTACTCCCAGGACTTGGGAGGATGAGGCAGGAGGACTGTCTGGAGTTTGAGAACAGCTTGGGCTACAGAGTGAGATCCTGTATCAAAAACCAAAACAATAAAATGTCCAGTGAATAATGGATGACACGTGGAATAGGTTCTGACAGCTGGACATGAGACATCACTTATTGCTGTTCCCAGTGCCTGCCAAGTCCTCCATCCTAGAGACTCATTCTTTCAGGTCTTCACGCTCCCTTGCCCCAAGTCACAATGCTGACTCTTGGTGAGGTGGAGGTGGTGGTCCTGATGTGCAGGTCAGGGTCTCCCAGGGGCAAAACTTGCTCTATGGATGGACCTGAGTCTTAGGAACTGAAGAACAAATCCCCCTAATTGCTAATGTAGGCACATCACCTGGGACCCAGAACCTTTGCTAAGTTTAAGATTCAAGGTGAATTTGGCTGCAGAAGGTAGATATCTGGCCCAGAGCAGGCCTGGGGCAGTAAGGGTCCATCTGAATGATGGGGCATCCTGACTGGGTACAGGCAGCTGACTGAGTACACTGGGATGGGAATCAAGCATCACCCTGGTTTTGTCCCTGAGGTGTGTGGGGCAGGTATTTGGCCTCTTCTGTCTTCATGGTTGGTCCTCTGGGGAGACAGGCAGGTGGCTGGGGTGGGAATGAGCTGGGTCCTCACACTGAGAATGCCACTGTCTCTGATTTAGATGGAATCCACACGCTCACCTGTGCATTGATGCTGCTCAACACGGACCTGCATGGACATGTGAGTTGGGGGTTGAGGGAATGTACTCTTACTGACTCACTGGCTCCCCATAGCCAGCCCCCCACTTCTCAAGAACTCTTGCTTAGGAACAGTGTTTCTTCTAACACACCTGGGAGCTGGGCACCTTGCTTCTAGATTTGACCCTGTCCTTTTTTATCTACTGGGACCTGTCTGGGTTTCCACTCCTAAGAAGGGCATTGAGAGCAATGAGGTACACTGGTGTTTAGTGTTTAGGGCATGGTAAACAGATGTACAGTCAGGGTCCCTCTGAGGGACAGGATATCCTGGCCAAGATCTCTGTGGCATGTGGGTGACTCGGTGCACTTTTGTGGGGTCCATGCCTCTCACTGCCAAAGCCTTCTTCTTTACCTCCTCCAAAAGTCCAGTTGTGGTCTGGCTGAAATGTCATGCCCCAGGCAAGCTGGCCTTTACCTATTAAAGGATAGGTTATCGTTACCCCTTTACTTATTTCAGGCTAAGGAGTGGAGGGACAGGTGTGAGGTGGCCAGCTAGGTTGCCTCTAGATTTCCCATGCTCACTAATCCCTTCTTCCTTCCTCTGTTGGCTATGGCTGGCCCTGGGCTCTCTTGCCTGCCCCACCTCAGGTGGTAAGTGCAGTGGTGGTGTGCATGCTCTGTGTGCTTAGATTCGCCTCCATCCACCGTGTGTGTCCCCATCACACCATCTGCCCCACCCAACCACCACCATCACTCACCCAGGGCTGGTCAGAGTCCCTCCTGGGAGTTGAGTGTATTTTAGTGACTCAGGGACAGTAGGCCAGTATGTCTGGTCCCAGAGTCAGCCATGACAGCCTAGGCAATATGGGGTGAAGAAAGATCTAGGATAGACCGGACTTCACATCCTGCTCTTGCCTCCATGGGGTAGCTGTGTGACCCTGAGCAAGTCCCTGGCCCTCTCTTGAGTCTCAGGCTCTGCATCTGTTGTGGAAGGGAGGATGCCTTCCTCCAGTGTCTTGGGCAGGACTGAGGTAGTAGGCTACTTCAAGTGTCAGGGCCCTACCCTAGTCAGGCTTTTGTTATAAACAATATTACCACCTAAGAAAAACAGTAGTATTCCCTGATATTATTAAAACCTAAATAATGGCCAGTTTGTGGGCAGAGCCTTGAGGCTGGGAAGCCTGCAGCCTGGTGGCAACTGGAGTGGGTGAGTTTGAGGAGGTGCAGCCTGGCCTGTGCTCATGGGACATGGGGGCACTGGCCAGGGGAGGGCTGAGGTCTTATGCATTCATTAGGAAGAGCAAACCTGTGACAAGTTTTGTAGTCAGCTTGGGCCTGACTGTTGTATTGGATGGAGAGAAGGTGTGTGTGTGTGTGTGTGTGTGTGTGTGTGTGTGTGTGTGTGTGTGTGAGAGAGAGAGAGAGAGAGAGAGAGAGAGAGAGAGAGAGAGAGAGAGATATATCCCCGAAAGTTTTGCCACAACAAAGGAAATTATTATCAGAGCTCATCTCAAATAAGCCACAGGGGGGGAGGAACATCTTAACCAGCCATCCAGTCCTGCCTGAAAACCAAAACAAAAGAAACTAGACTAAGCCAAACCAAAACACACTTCTTTTTTTGGTCTTTTTGAGACAGGGTCTCCCTGTAGCCCCAGC